AAACAGTTATCTTTAAGTGAACTTAAGTGTGCATCATTTATCTCTAGAATAAAGGCAGAAATCTGTAAAACTACAATATTTTCAAGACGAGTGTAGTTTTCTGGTCACACATTATAAAGGATCAAAGGTAACAAGTAAACAAACTTTTTTCTTTCTGTGACTGTATCAGTTAGAATCTGTAAGTTAACAAAATATGTCTAATTATTAAAGGTGCAGTAAAATGACAATTAAAAACTGTTAATTTCTGCAGCATCAAATGATGTGAAGAGCAGAAGCTCATCAGTCAGTAGTTGAACTGACGTGTCTGCAGACAGTTTTTTGGCTGAATGAAGTCACCTGGAGGCTGAATGTTGCTGTTCTGACCCACAATCTTAGTCCTCAACAAGCTGATCCTCCCTCCTGCTTTTTCCTGCTTTTCTGTCGAATTCATTTTCTGTCACTGGTCTGATTGACTTCCTGCCAAGACAAGTTGGATGTTGGTTTGTTTCCTGAGGCACTTTGTGATGATGTGAGTCCTCTACATTCACACATGAACCGTTTCACTATTCAAAAGGATCCATGAAGTTACAGGACTGTGAAACAATGAATAAAGTCAAAGAACTGGAAATGAAATGAATGAAAAAGGTCAACAACAACCGATTAACGACGTGTAAAAATCAAAGCTGAGCCACAAAACGAAACTAATTCATGTTTTATTTAGCTTACTGTTGGTGCTTGTGATTTATTGTTGGTTTGTTGTTTGTTCATGTTGGTTTTTGGATGAACAAAAAAAACACAAAACCCCACAAACAACAACAATAAACCACACAATACCACGTAGTTTATTGTCAGTTTGTGTGGTTTAGTGTTGTTTGTTTATGGAGTTTAGTGTTTTTTGTTGAGTTTTTTTTTGGTTCATGTAGTTTTATTGTTGGCTGTTGTGGTTTAATGTTGGTGTATGTTCTTTTTTCATTGGTTTATTTTTTGATTTTGTGGTATATTGTTGCTTCAAGTGGTTTATTCTTGCATTATTGTGGGACTTTGGGGTTTTTGTTGGTTAATTTTTGTTGGTTTTTGTTCCTATATTGTCCCCCTCACACTGATGGTAAAGATAATTTGTGTGTTGATGACGTTTCGTTAAAGAGTTATTGATGCCGGAAGTCTGAATCTGTGAATATCTTTCCAACAAAGTGACTTGATGTTGAGAAAGCTCCCTCTTAGAAGAAAAATCTGACTTCTGACACTGTGACTTAGCACTATCACTATGGGTCCCAGTGTTGTTATGCTAGTTAGTGAGCAATGTTGTTGGAAACTGTAGGTTGATTTAGTTGAACAATCCTCTGATTTGTGTCATTGGAGAGCTGCTTTGATGGAAAGATACAACTAAAGGAAATCTGACTTTTTGTTAAAACAGCTTTTAGTATTTGCCTTAAAGTGCATCTGATGTCTGAGTCCTCTACAGTGGACAGTTGCAGCACATCCCTTCAAAAATCCAGTCGAACATGTTTTCTGTCTTGTTGGGAAATATGACACAACCTAGAACAAAAAATCTCCCTAATTTTTGAAATTATTATTGCATGAAAGAGTTTATTTCAGCTACCTTCCCAGGTGTCAGGAATTAACGGGAAACGTAAGCAACAAGGTGTGTCACATTACCTGTTCTCACCTTTCCTGCTGATGTCCCATCATCTCTCTCTCTTCAGTGTGTCTGTCTGTGGGTGTCGACATGGGCAGCGGAGCGTCCGTCAGTGAAGAGCCGCGGCCGGAGAGGCCAGATGACGGCGAAACGAAGCCTGAGGACGCCCGACTCTCCACACCGGCAGGACGGAGCGACGACACGCTGCAGGTGGAAGAAGTGCTCCGCTCAGGCAGCGTGAAGGAGCGGACATCATTTAGTTTATGTCTAGGGGTGACATACCGTGAATAAAAGGGATAGAATGTCGAGGCTGAAGTTTCAACCCAGACTTATTTATTTATTGTTCGAGGACCTTTCTGGTGAAGTTCTAGTAATGTTTTAGCAGAACAGAGTAGTTGGCAGGATGTTAAAAGTAGAGTAAGGTTCTCAGAGGTGTCCTCCCTTTATGAAGGTAAGACTGTTCCAGTTTATGTCTAAGGTAACTTTTTACTTCGGAATATTCCTAAGCAAGCATTTAAATAATGTTTTCAAGATGGGTGCCACAGGGGACTTTATTTATTCTGATTCTTATTGTTTTAATGTAAAGTCCCTGTAATGTGGCATGTTAACAGAGGAGGACGTGTTGGGAGGTTTTGGGGAGTTAACACATTATTACATTCTTACATTAACCATTTTATTATTTATTATGTTACATAATAACCCAGGGCAAACTTTCTCACTGCAACATGAAGAAAATGTTTTAAGAGGAACATTCATAGAATGTCTTTAGAGAACTTTATCTGGCCTTGAAGAAGAACATTCTGGCAACTACAAAACAAAACAAAAGACTTTCTACTGAAGACATTACTAAATCTTTCTCAGAACAATTTTAGAATATTGACATGGGTCATTGCAAATGATAAATATCATGAAAACATTCTTTGAACATAAGATTCAAACTTTAATACCTTGTTAGAACTTGTAGGTAATGTTGGATCATGATGTGGGAACATGCCCTGCTAGCTGGGAGAGAACTTCAAACAGAGTTCCTGTGTGTTCCAGGCAGATGTGAAGACAACCAAACCTGACGGTTGCACTGTGGACATTCAGTCTGTACAGAGTGAGGAGGAGAACAACGCGTACAGCAGCGGAAATCAAGAACACACTCTGCAACCAGTCCTGAACCCAGCCGTGACTGTGAGCAGTTCTTTTCATATCAGTAACCTTTGTGTCCTGGTATCCGTTACATGACTGATGGCTGTTATATCACCATCTACAACTTTCATTTGGGTAACCTGATTCATCCCACCTGTTACGTCTGTTAACAGGAGACGAGAATTTCTGCTGACAGACGTTTTACATTGTTTGAAGTGTCAATTTAAATGATGTTTTGAAGAGATTTTTGTTTTTGCAATCCACTCTTACTAAATACATGATGAAATATAAGACTTTACAAAAGGTTGAGCCACTGGAATCAATATGTAGGAAGACATCCTCTACCTTTAAAACAGACCCAGAGTTGTCCTGGATACACTTGAACACAGTCAAGCTGCTTTGCAGAGTTGTTCAGTGTCTTGGACAATGTGTCTCTGTTCCTCTCTGGATTTAGTCCGTCTCACTGTTCTCTGCCTCCTCAGAGAGCAGTGATGTTGAGGGCAGGGCTCTGTGGATAACTACTGTCCAGCTGTTGCAGGACTATTGGTTCTTCTTGTGATTCATCAAATATCAAGTTGTTCCTCACTCATTTCTTGATCAAGTAATCATTATTTTTAGCTCTGTAAAATTTGATTCGGAGCCATTTATGAACTAATGGCTAACTAACAGTTTATGTTACTTAGTCCTCATTTGTTCCACAATATCAACTCAGCATGTGTGTTACCTGTATTTTAATAAAGATACATTTTCAGTTGATGGTTGCAGAAGTAAATGAGGCGCAGATGATATAAACAGTGCAGTAAATAGCCTTTAACATCTATCTTTTGTAGGTTGTTCACCTAAATAACATGCAAATATATCAGTTTATAACCCCATAATGGCTGAGGTATAACAGCTCTTTCTGCTATTTTGCACTTGTCCTCCAGAAGCTGGGATATTGCGCAATTATCATTGCATTTTATGTCCATGCACAAAATCTTTTTTAGTAACTTTTGATAGCACTGACAGTAACAGTGGTAAAATATGTTTGAGTCAGACATTGGTTGCATTTCTTCTCCAACCTGATTATGCTGTGAATGGTGTTGGCAGGAAACTGTGCCAGAGGGTGAGGAAGTGTCTCTGGATTTTGAGAGTTTCCTTCACAACAACGGTACACTCTACAGCTGCTTCAGCCACCACGGGAACAGAGTTTATGTTGACGAGTCACAGGTAGGAACTATTGACCAAAAAACAAAAAACAGGTGTTACAGAAATAACAAATGCATCATAGATTGCTGGATTACAAACTTGAAGGGCAAACCCAACTAAGTTCTGATTAACCATTTATTTTTACATTCCACATAGTTTGATCTGAAATGTCTGAAAATACGGATAACTGCTCAAATTGGTAACACTTCAGATTACAGCCTACACACACACACACACACACACACACACACACACACACACACACACATATATATATATGTAGGTACTGGGGAACACAATGTGAAGTTATGGAAGAAGGAGGTAAAAATTCAGGATATTACCAATAGTTTATACTACAGTTGTAATGTAACTCGTAGTTTTCTCTTCTCTTCTCATTTTTCACTGCAATATAAAGTCCTACACCTCTATGGAAACAGCATGGCCATGGCAAGAAGGAGAGAGAGAGATTAGAAATGTTTTCTGTGCAGTATGACATAATGCCATTTTCTTTCAAAACTGAAATCCACAAGGCCAACATTTTCCAAACACCCACAAGTGATACGAACACTGGACAAATGGGTGGCACAACATTTTATAGATATTTTATTATTTACATTTTTACTTTGTTTCTGTACTTGGCTCATGTCTGCTCCATGTACACAGCAGAGAGTAAAGCTGATGTGTCCCTGAATCTTTGTGACATGACTGTTGGTCATAGCTGAGTCGAATAAACAAAACTCATATTAGAGTTGTTAAGTGATGCAGAAGTCATAAGACCACCTTTCCTGAAATGTCTCGATTTTTGGTCAGTTTTATGTTTACACTGTGTGTACTATAATAGTAATAGACAAGGTTGAGCAATAACTACAGTATAAATCAAAATGTCTTCCAGGTCAGTAGGTCATACATACCTTGTAAGAATAAAATAAGTACCAAATTTTGTAAATAATACTTAAATTGTTATCTCCTTATTCCATCCATCCATCCATCCATCCATCCATTATCTATACACCGCCTAATCCTCACTAGCGGCGCAGGGTGGCTGGAGCCTATCCCAGCTGACTCAGGGTGGAGGTAGGGGACACCCTGGACAGGTCACCAGTCTATCACAAGGCTATACTTAGAGACAGACAACCAAGCACACTCACATTCACACCGACGGACAATTCAGAATCATTTAAAGTCACCAATTTTTGGACTGTGGGAGGACCCCAGAGAACCCGGAGAGAACCCACGCTGCACGAGGAGAACATGCAAACCCCTCCCCTTATTCCATATGTGCATATCCTCTTCCTCAGTACCTACATACAGTAATATGTACTGATACAACCTGTACTGGTACACCAAAGATTACACTGTAACTCTGGTGTAACTGCACTGCACGTTGTAGGCTGTCATCTAAAGTGTTACTGAATAACTTTAGCTGATTCAAGGTATTAACACAAGATAGATTTGGATAAACAGAAAGGTCTATAATTTTTGCTGCATAAAAGTTTGCCAATTAAAAGTCTCCAAATTCATGTTCTGTACAACATTTGAATAACACATGAAGCAACTTTAGGAGCAAGAAGAAAATTGGGAAATGTTTACAAAATGTAATTTTAGTCATTTATAGCTTAGATCAAAGCTCACCTCTATTTTTGTCTCAACGTTTTCTGTGTGTCATCTGGTTTATTTCACACTTGTGGCATCTCGCTGTTGCTCTGTCTTTTCAGAACCTACAGCTGTTTCCAAAAGAGTGGTACAATCAGGGATGCTTCATCACCACCAACAATGAGGTTTGTCTGTTGATAAATAGTTCCACTAGAAATAAAATAAAACTGATGAACCACAAAACCAGGGGCCACTCAGTTGCTGTCTTTCTTTCGCCACAAATCATATCAAGATTTAAAAAAAAAAAAAAAATTGGTTGATAATAATTCATCAGGAAGTCTTGTTTGAGAAGAAGGTCCAAATTAAGAGTCTGGTCAGGACAGAGCACACAACATGTATTAACTTATTTTTTTGAATTGAATTTATTTATTTTTCAGGGCTCTGGTCAGCTTCAAACTGTTGCCACCAGTCAGTCAACTGTCAGGGAGGATGACCGAACTGGCAGCATCTACATCCAAGGCAAAGGAACAGTCATGACCTACATGTTTCAGGTAAGACAAGAGTAAGGTTCGACAAAACAAAGACAAACTGAAATTTTGATGCAATCGTGGTTCTAGCTCCAAATAGTACCAAACTAAATGGCTGTCCACACAGCAGTTACTGTGATGCTTTACACTGAACCACAAATGTCTACCTGCTGATAGATCTCTGCAAACATTTAGCCATTCCAACTTGTAGATACAGAGATAAGTAAAAACTGACATGTTGAACCAAAGTCAGTAGGATTCATTTTGTGAGGACCAGACCATGTCAGGAATTTTACTGCAATCCATACAATAGATGTTTTTTTCTGGATTAAGGTGGTGGAGTGACGCACAGACATAGACCTGCTAGAGGGCTTAATTAAAGGTTATGCCAAAGTTATTGCTTAAAGCCACCATGTGTAGAATTTCACGACTGCAAACTCTGGCACTTCAGTAGCCCCAGAAGAGGCCAGAAGGTTTTAATTCCATAGTTTGCCTTCAGTGGTTTCCACAGGGCTGCATTTATTTTTAGTTCAATTTGTTTTATATAAAGATTTCAGTTCTTCCACTGCCCTGTTCCTCCATTATGTTCTGATGTTTCCCAGGAGAGGGTGAATATCTGCAGGTTCTGGGACCCTCAGTCAGGCGTCTGGCTGCTGCTGCCACTGCAGTGGGAGATGGATGGCGAGTTTGCCAAAGTTCGAGTCCAACGAGTCATGGTGAGGAAGACTATTTTCCTCCTTTAAGGCTCCTTTTGGTAACGCTTTATTGAAATTGTGAAAGGTAGCAACACTTTCCTTTATAAATAGGGGCAAACTGATTGTATGTCAGTATCCTACAAATAGACCACAGCCACTGATGACAGCATCATTTCATTCTGAAAAAAATCTCAACACACCTAAATAAATGACAGGTGCAACTTGAAAACAATGAAAGACCCCTAGCTTGTCTTCATCAGGAAGTGAAGGTCGGATTAACCTGGTAATCAAATAAATGTTTCAACAGTAAGCAGAACACAACCAGCAGGAAAAGAACACTTTGCCCAGTGTAGCAAAATTTCTTCAGAAACAACTAGAGAGCTTTTGGTTTTGTGTTCCAGTCTGCCCTGCCAGGCCTGGTGGACCAGAAGGAGATCACGGCAGCTCTCAGACAGTGTAACTACGACCCTGACGAGGTCATCTCTGTGTACCTCACCATGTTTGGAGAAATCCTCCTTCAGAGCTCTCCAAGTGGAGATCACAGCTAC